ATATATATATATATGTATATGAGAGAGAGAGAGAGAGCGCCCTAAAGCGAAGACTCTCAGCCCCAGCTTCAGGCGCACCCGCCTCATGGATCAGCCGCCAGAGCCACCGCGACCCACCAGCAGGCCCAAGATGGCTGTGTGTAGCGCTTTATATAGGGGCCTCAACTGGGTTTAGGGTCTAGGGTTTAGGGTTTTATAGGGTTTAGGGTTTAGGGTTTCGGCCTTGTAGCGCTTTATATAGGGGCCTCAGCTGGGTTCCTGAGCAGTACCCTTTTGCCCTTTTTATTTTGGGATCTCTTCATTCAAACCCATTCTATAGGAAAAAGAATACCCTTACTATTTCGGGGTCACTCAGGAACCTAAATTTTCATAGGGTTTTTGGCATACTATACCATATGTATACTATGGAGCCGCCACAATAGTATTGGTAAATAGTGAGGCTCCTATATTACAGGATTCGGGGGTTTTGTACGGGTTGGGGGGGTGAAGTTTTCGCGCCAGGTTTCGGAGTTTAGGGTTTTGGGGCTCTAGGGCTTGCAGTTTAGGGTTTAGGGTCTAGGGTCACGGTTTGGGGTTAAGGGTTGCAGGTTTACTAGCTTAGGGATTGAAGAAGTTGGAACATGCAGATTGAGGCAAGGATTCTTCTGAAGGAAAGGATATGGTCTGTTCCAGCTTTCTTACGCTTAGCTCCATCAGAGCGATTCTCTTTCCAATAAACAACAACACTACTTCTCCTCAAAAAGATTTGCAGCAGGGGGGAGGCAGAAAAAATCCAGGCGCTTGGCCCATGCCAAGACGCTGCCTGCGCGCCCGCGTCCGCAGGCCGGTACTTTCCGGCTTCAGGACTTTAGCCCTAAATCCGAAACCCTAGCAGCTTGGATCCTTATGTCTCAAGCTTTCAAGTCTTGATCAGATCCCAGGAGTTTGGGTGATGGTATGGTGCGGCGTTGATACTAGCCCTGGTTGACCCAAGCAGCCTGATGCTCGCCCCTTCACCTCGTAGGGTCTAGGTTCTGTATTCCCAACAGCTTCGATCCAATGTCAAGCTCCCTCCCTGCAAGTCAGACGCGGGATTCGGGTTCAGTGGGATTTAGGGGCAAGACCCTCAAGAAATCCTAAATTGGATTCATGCTCGGAACCTCAGGCAGACCCGTTGCCCGAGCCTCCCTGGCGATGATAATTCTTTAATGTCGCAATACGCTGATATCTCCATAGCTAGAAACCAAAGACAACTCCGGAAAGAAAACTGGGCCCGATTACATTTCTCAATTGGCAACGTTTGACAACACATGGTCCAGCTCAAAGTGTGTTCAAAGCGGAACGCTGATCATCGAAGTGTAGTGTCCTGGAAGACTACCTTCAATGTAATATGAGCCTAGGTCGGACATTCTACAAGACCGTTCCAAGCTTATTAGTTGTATTGCTAGTGCATCTCATCTGTATTATGTAATGCAAGTCAGGGTGGCAGTTGAGGCTAAAGCCCAGGGGGCAAAGGACCCAAACCCTGAACCCGACGCCCCGAACAAGTTAGCAGATACAGTTTCCATGTTCTAATCGTGCACCCCCCCCTTCGCACCCAAACCGTAACAAGCTATACCCGAACAATCAACTCACCGAAATACCCATAGTAAGACCGAAATGATGAAAACCATACAATGGAAGCATGCATACCCCCAAAGAGAATAGCATTTTTTCAACACCACATCATGCCCCGCCCGATAGAAAAGCCATAACACCCAACCCAAAACCCCTAATCGTCGAAAATGGGAACGACATATTCTCTTAGTGTTACGATAGTCAAAATGAGGTTTAGGGCGAAGGATGCAGGTGCACGTGGTGTCGTTTCGCTCCAACCGCCACCACACGCATACTGGGTCATCTAATCACCCATACATTTTAAGCAAAGGCCACGATCTACACGCCCCAGTGCACGAAACATCAGTCACTGGCCCCAGTTAGTTCGTGGACTCCTGAAATGCTACGTATGCAGAGGGAAGCAAGTGGGCTTCTCATTCGATTCTCTCTGTCAATATCTGTCCCCTCTAGGTGTCCTTCTGTTGATGCTATAAATCCTGCATTACCTTAAGGACCCTAAACTATGGGAATAATGGTACATTCCTTATTATGGGTACTGCAGGATTTATGTCATCAACTGTTTCACGGTTCTTTCATCGTGTCCGGTGATTCTACCCCGGCCTTCCAGATTGCAGCTATAGCTCTCCTATATGGGGGTTTCCGAAAATAGAGGACCCCAATTTTGTACCCTAAATAATAGGATCCTTA